CTCTAGGACTCGAGCATGTTGTCACTTATCTTTCCTTCTGCCAGGAAGTCATTGTTTCTGTCTTCCTCCTCTGCCCAGGTGTTGGACTGGATTGAAAACCATGGTGAGGCCTTTCTCAGCAAACACACAGGGGTCGGCAAGTCCCTGCATCGAGCTCGGGCCCTGCAGAAGAGGCACGATGACTTTGAAGAGGTGGCTCAGGTGAGAGGCTGTGTGTGGCTCTCTGTGTGCATGCGTGTGCGTGTGCGTGCGTGTGTGTGTGTGTGTGTAGCGGGGTGAGGGAGACTAGGGCTAGGCTTTGGTGTTTGCTGGGGCATGTCAGATAGATAGCCCGTGGTTTCTGGGCTGCCTTTCTGCGTGATGCAAGGAGACCTTTATCTGCTATCGGATCACTAGGCGAGGGGTAAATAAACTCTTAGTTTATGGTCTTCAAAGGAAACCATTCTGCTAGCATGATCTGTAAAAGCCTTGTCTACAAGGTGGTGATGGCGGGAGGGAATGACATTAGATCCATTGACAGCCCAAAGCTACCCCTGTGGTTGTCACTGCAGGCGATAGGAGCTGAAAGTCAGCACCAGCTCTGCTTACAAAGCTGTGTGCCTTCCAGGACCCAGAGGCAGAGATGGCACCTGTTTACCAAGCCATGCACCCACGTATGCCCAGAGAGTGTGCCTTTGTATCACTGGCACAATATAGTCTGTAATTTGCACAATAGTCAACATTTTAGCTGAGCTGCCCATCTGATCCAAAAAGGGCACCGTTTCCTAATTTGCACAAAGAGGCTGAATGAGAGGCCTTAACCATTTGTCTTACTGGTGGAGTGATAGAAGAGAGTTTCTGTTCTGAGCCTACAGCCCCCCAGTTTTATCCTGTCTCCCTTATATTCCTTTTTTGGGGGGAGTTTCCAAATGGATCCTGAAAATATTCGTTTTCAAGATAAAATACTGCCGTCCAATTCTTTGTCAGATGTGATCAGTTGCAGTGGAAAATAAAACACTTAAGACTAAGCAGGGAAAGGGCAGCTGGGAAAGGTATCCATATGGGGCAGGGTGTGCTGGAGGAGTGAGGATGCCAGCCTTAACCAGAGCTGGCTCCCATCCTACTAGGTGGGCAGTCCTCAGTGTGGGGGTCACGCTGGGCATTGTGCAGAGCCCCGACCCTCACCCAGGGAGGCCACCAGCGCCAGACAGATACGGGCTGTGGGTGCAAAAGGAGAGGGCGTGCCAAGAACCAAAGGAATCTTCTGGAGGACAGGAAAGCAGTGGGAGCATACTATATCTCTAGGGGGGGCTGCGAGTATATGCCGAAAAATGAGAGGCCTGACAGGAGCCAGAAAGACCATGTCAGCAGGGACCTGAACCTGGTCCGTGCAGGTAGATTAGACCCAACCTATGGAATAAAGTATGAAATCTTTGTGCCCTCTGGTGGGAGTGTAAAATAGTGCAGCCACTGTGAAAAACAGTGTGGTGGTTCCTCAAAAAAATTAAACATAGAATTGCCATACGATTCAGCAAACTCACTTCTGGGTATATATCCAAAAGAACTAAAAGGTGGGCTGTAAAAAGGTATTTGTACATCCGTGTTTATAGCAGCATTGTTCACAGTAGCCAAAAGGGGGAAACAACACAAGTGTCCATCCATGGGTGAATGGAGAAGCAGCATGTGGTCTATGCATACAACGGAATAGTATTCAGCCTTGAAAAAGGATCCTACAACACGGATGAACCTTGAAGACAGCATGCTATGTGAAATAAGTCAGTTGCAAAAGGACAAATATTGTGTGAGTCCACTTATAGGAAGTAACAGAATAGTCAAATTCATTGAGGCAGAAAGTGGAATAGTGGTTGCTATTCTACCTAGTAGAATAGGGGCTGGGGGAGAAGGGAAGGGAGAGTTAATTATTTAATCGGTATAGAGTTTTAGCTTTGCAAGATAAGGAGTTCTGGAGTTGGATGGTGGTGATGGTTACACAGCGATGTGAATCTACATAATGGCGCTAAGCTTCACAAGTTTTTAATGTATATTTTACCACCACCAACACCACCACCACCACCACGACAACAACAAAAAGAAGCCACCAGGGCCTTCTGCGGAATGAGCTGGCGATGGCAGCATACTATCCACACAGGCCCTGTGTGCCTTTGGTGGACAAGATGTAGTATGGACCCAAAATATCTGGGTGGCCAGGCATTCTGGGTGCCTCTTCAGTCTGTTAGGGGGCAAAGGATGGAAGAAGGCCAAATGGATTCCCCACCTGCTGANTTAAACCTCATTAATATATTCATATGTACGAGATCTGACAATTAAGTTTGCAAAGTCGTCCTAGAAAAAGTGCTACATACCTCATGGCTGAATATCACTATGATCACCTTTGAAGTACTCCCCTCGGGAAGCTATGCACCAACTCCAGCACCTAGTCCACCCTTCAAAGCAATTTTGGAACTCTTTTTCTGGAATGGCCATCAGAGCTGTCGTCGTATTATCCTTGATGTCCTGAATGTCATCATCAAAATGTCTTCCTTTCAATATTTCCTTTCTCTTCGGGTAAAGAAAGAAGTCATTGTGGGCCAGATCAGGTGAGTAGGGAGGGTGTTCCAATACAGTTATTTATTTACTGGCTAAAAACTCCCTCACAGACAGTGCTATGTGAGCTGGTGCATTGTCATGATGCAAGAGCCATGAATTGTTGGCGAATAGTTCAGGTCATCTAACTTTTCCACGCAGCCTTTTCAGCCAAATAGTAAACTTAGTTCTGTTTGTCCAGTTGGTACAAATTCATAATGAATAATCCCTCTGATATCAACAAAGGTTAGCAACATCGTTGCAACAAGTTCACAAACTTAATTGTCAGACCTCGTACATTTCTCTGAACTAATACCATCTTGTTGTGGGCTTAATGATACTGTCACTGAAGACTTTGAAGGCTTCCACACTTGACACAATTGCAGGCATTAATTTATCTCAGTGTCCGAGGAAGTGAAGCCAAAGGCTAGAATTCTGTAAAGCTAGAAGTCCTGTGCCTGCAGTCCATGGAATGATTTGGCCTATGTGCTTGCCCCAGGACAATCTGCAGAAGAGACCAAGGAATGGATTAAAGTATCTTTTTAAACAGGCCCACTTCATCTAAATCATTTTCCCAAAAGTCCTTCTAACATTTGAGAAGGCTAGTATATTATTAATCAAATGTGCAGTTCAAGTTTAGTGCTGTAGGAATAGAGTGGACTCAGTTGACTCTTGGCAGAATCTGTAACAGACGTGTCTGTACGATAATTCTGATTTAATTGTGGCCTCCTGATTTATTGAGCACCAACTCCTCAGAAAGCAGAAGATGAACCGTTTCCCTTCTCCAACATTTTTGTTAGGACTTCTGAGCAAATGCAAAATGGATGTTAGAGGCTTCGGTCCTCCCTACATTTCAAGGTTTTTACTAAGGGGTTTCCACTCCCCCTGCCAAGTGCCCCTCAAGACAACACATTTTCTCACCTTCTCAGCATCCCTCACTCGTCTCTCGACTGCTCCAGACACCTCTGTTCCAGCTTCTCTAAACACCAAGGAAAATGTCTTGAGGCCAAATCACTAGATCTTAATCCTGGAAGAATGTGGAGTCTCCACTGCTTCTTAAAGAATCATAGATACTAAAGTCCTTACAGATGCGAAGACCTTACTTTATTTGGTTGGTTGGTTGGTTGGTGCTGATTGGAGGAGAGAAGTGGAAACGAGCCAGAGAGGACAGTTGTCCTGATGATCAGTTACGTTGAGCGTAGCTCCACTTGAGGACTGACTTCTCTGGACTTTATTTCCAAGATTAAGAAGCGAGTCCTAGAAGCACAAGGAGGCAGGACCCTCCTGACTGGTTGCCTCTGCTGTGGAACCGCGCTGATCTGACTCTGCCTAATTTCCTCCTGATGTGTCTGACTCTGTGTGGTGGGAGCAAAGGTAGTGAGGGGGTTCAACTGTGCCTGATGGCCTGTGTAGCTTGTTTAAAATCATGGGCTAATCGGGGCCGAGAAAACCAAAGAAGTAACGAGGGGATATTCTGGAGATCAAACAGGATGAGTTGAATGCAGTTAAAGGTGGGTGGGTGGTATCGCCAATGACAGCAATGAAAGGCCCTGCATCTACAGTGGATGAAACATTTCNATCCCCAAAGGGGGCTGACAACTGAAGGCTGTCTGCCTGGTGGTGGCACTCCCAGCCATAGAGGTAAAAAGTCCATTATGGCATCTCACAGAATCCACCCTCTGCATGGTCTCAAAGTACCTCCCTCAAATAGTTATTAATTACAAAGGGAATAAGAGAAACTTTTGCAGCGAAGAAGGCTGGAAGACTCCACCTTAATCAAATGATCAAAGTTAACATCACTGGTAACAGGGCAAACTGAAATTGTATTCCACCTGATGGAATGCACTGGGAAACACAAGAATCATTTTTGTGATATTCCTGATTCGAATCATGAGAAAACATGAGACAAACCCAAATTGAGGGACATTTTATAAAGTAATAGCCTGGTAATGGTTAAAAAGTGTCAAAGGCAGGCAAGTCAAGAGAAGCCTAAGGAACTATATTAAAGGGACAGCTAAACACAACATGTGCTCTGGACTGTACCCTTCTGCTCTAAAGGTCAGTATTGGGACAGATGGCAAAACTTGAATGGTGTCTGGGTTTTAGATGGTAGTGTTGCTGCCAGAACCACTTGGCTTTGAATCCTGACTCCGCTAGTTGATAGCTGTGTAAGCTCAGGCAACTTAATTAACTTCTCTGTACTCATTTTCTTCATCCAAACATGGGGATAATCACTTTCACCTCCCAGGGTTGTCCTAGTGCTTGACAAGGAACAAGCCCTTCTTGGTCTCATCTTCCAAGGAGAGGAGCTGCAGTGCCCTCGATATAATAAAATGATGAAATATTTGAGTTAGAGGCAGATGGTCTGATCCAGCACCCTAAAATGAGGCAGTGGGGTCCCGAGAGGAGAATGCTCACAGCCAGCTGGGTCACAACTGGGACAAGAACCCAGGTTCTCTTGACCCTAAGGATGGTGTCTGTAAGTTAGGATGATCATGATGGTGTCACATTGTAACAATGCTTTAGGAACCGAAAACACTTGAATATGTAAGTAGAGCTTAGAAACCAACTTAAAACTTTGTTCCAAAGGCGATTGTCTCTCAGTGCAGGGGTCTCCTGTCCTGGCTGGACGATCCATG